CCCCAAAACCCCAAAACCCCAAAACCCCTTCATTTCTTAGAATATTTATATTTGAATTCATTAGTAATTAATTAATATCAGAGAATAATAATCATATATCAATAACTATAGAGACTTCATTCAAAATTTGTGAATCCAATAATAGATTTCCTATCAAGATAGGAATTAACTTCTAAAATACTGCCACCACCCACAGAAAATGGATCATACTTGTCGCCTTCATCCTAGAATCTAATTCTATCATATCGTACTGCCTCTTCTTCCTTTATTTAAACATTAGCTTGAAGTAGGTAGGATTTATCCTAAAGTTTAGAAGCTTCCAAGGAGCAGATCCAATTGATTGGACTAGTAAATTTAACAAAAGTATCGCATATCTGGAAATTCTGCTCATGATCCTAGATGTCCTCACTAGTGAATTCTTTGATAAATTTGAGTTAGGTAATAAGATCAGGAACTTATGCCTTCACTATAATGAATAACATAATTGATGTGTATTCATCGCGATTTATTGCTAGTTTTTATTCATCTTTAATAGTATCCTTCCAGTATTCCCTAACTTCATTCGGAATTTACCAATTTAGAAGATCCTATATCTGAAACATTTTCTAGAGTGGAGAGCAGGAATTCTGCATGATAACTCTAAATAGTTAAACTGATTTCTTGAATGGCTTTATTTTAGACTTTTCAAGCATCAGCTTTTAGATTTATGGCGGCAGTTTCTTGATATTATCCATATTATTCTTAAAGTATTCCTTGAACTCTAGATTATGTATTTCTTCTATTTCAATGTTTTACACTGTAGGATTCATAATTAGATCCCTTTCTGTTTAGATTTCAATCCCAGATTATTTAGAAAATTCTTCAATTAGTGTAATAGGATCACTCATATTCAAGTATTTATCTATTCCAAAGTCTGTCGTCTTAATCCCTTTAAGCAAGAGATACTTATTTCTCATATCTTTGTCAGCATCAAAGTTGTCAATACGCAACAGAAATAGAATAATATTCTGCACCTCATTGCAAATTATGAGGTCTATGACTAATTTCTACAGATCGTAACTTAAAATCTTCATATCGTAAGGCCTAATAAATTGGATGTACATTTTTGCTATGAAGTCCATTTGTATTTACACAAATGCCTATACTTCATCAATTGCTTGATATGCAAGAGTAATCTATTTCTTTCTTTGTAATTCCTCTACAATCTTTTAATCTGGTTCAGTGCTGATTTTTTCAGCCATCTAAAAAACAAACTGACTCTGTAGGCCTACAGTTTACCTTATTATATTGTCCAAAAGTTATTAATTTTCAGGTATCTATTTCTTATTAACAAACTAATGATAGTTTTTTGTAAAACTTTTATGAAAATTTTGATTTAGTTAATTTACTGGGTGAATCTTTTATTGCACTTGTGATTGTATCTCAATCATAATACTTTGTTGAGTATCAGACAGGTTGTTATCAATAAATTCTGGTTTAATTGTTGACGTAGTCTATTTATGCTATTTGAGGCTACTGTTTCTAGTAATTTTCATAGAACTATCCCCATTATATATTTGATCCATTTTATGAGAGAAATCATGCTAATATTCAGCTATTTTATCAATATTACTTTACACAATTTTTTTTGATGATACAATTACATTCTAAATCCATGGTATAGTTTTAATAAAGAAAGGGATCTTCTCTTCGAATATTCTGCAAAACTAATCTGCTAGATATTTGTTTTCTTCATTGTTCTAGGTTTTTCTTCGATTTTACTTTGGAGTAATAATTGAAAAACAGCAGCCTCCTTGTTTTGATTATTTCATGGTTTTACTTTTATTCAGTTTTTCACTTCTCTCTAGAATTAAACCAGAGAGCAAAGTCTTTTACTCTTAATCCGAGTAACCTTCCATTATTATAATTATTGTTAGAGAGAAAATAATTATAGAATTAAGATTAAGATTTAATTTTAGATATAACAATTTAAAATTTTTGATCATCTGCGGATTGGCCTTATAGGGCTAACTACTTCCTCTGGTTTTCTAGTAGTGCTTCCCTCTTTCTTTTTAAACATTCCAAAAATTCCTTTTTTAGTTTGCTTTTTAACTTCTTCCTCAGTTTCAGTTCCACTGGCACTTATACTACCAGATCTGTTTTTCTTTCTAATATCTTAAACTTCAGCTATCTAAGCTTCTGTAAACTCCATCATATCAAAAATAATCTCAAGTATGACTTCATTATTCTTATCAGTCATGGGACAGTTCTTAAGGAATGGGATTAGAGTGCCTTTGACATTTTCAAATAAAGCTTTGTCATTTATGCTTGAGTTCTATTATTAACTTCTTTGCAATTCTCCTTGAAGAGTTTGGTTTTACTTCTGAATCTCCTCTAGTTAAATCTCAAGCTATTTAACTTTATCGTCTTATATGTTTTGGTACTTTCGCTCTTCATCATTTATCCCTTCAATTACTCCATATAGAGATGACTGATCGAACAAGTTAACATCATCGTTCTCAGGTTGTTAGGATTTCTCAAGATTATCAGCCACTTCAATTCCCTTGAAGAAGTCTCCTTCCTCCACTAATTCATCTTCATCATTTATTGTAAGTTATTGCTTTTAAGAAATTTTATGCAACTTCTTGGATTAAGTTGACACTTGCTATCGAAGTGACTCATTTTCTTCCATCAGCTTAATTACTTTTCTATTAGCTGATTCAGCATCTCTATGATATGTTAGTTCCTTAATCATCTCATTTAATTCGATAGTTCTTGATCTCAAATGAGTTTCTAGAATTCTATGCTCTACCTATTTGATTCTTAACTCAGCAACTTCTTTTGATAACAGTACTACTTCATCTTCAAGTTGAATGAATTAAAGGTCTTTCTTTTTATCTATCTAGCCTGCGGATGTCAGATTAGCTTTGATCTCTTTTAGTTGCACTTGAAGATCATTTCTTTAAGCTCTCAATTCACTTAATTTCTCCTAAAGTTATTCTAGAAGTTGCTGCTGAGCATCATCTATGTGAATGTAAGTATCATCTAGTTCTTTATCATCACCTGGTAGATATGATTTTAGATAATTCAAGGCTGTTTCAGTCAACTTGGAATCATCAATCACATAGCATTCATTATTACTTATAACTTATACAACTAGTAACCTCTTAGCACCAAATGTAAAGTACTTGATAAGTTTAATGTTGCTATTTAAGGTATCTATTTGCTGATTTGTTTTCATTTCTGAAAGCTTTGCCCTTAAAACCTCTTCAGAGTTAAAAGTATTTTGAATATCTTTTATTTTTCTTGCAAAAGTATCACTAATCTCATCAATTACTTGATTTTTAGCCATAAAAATGAGTTTCCTGAATTACATGACTTGTATCTCTAATTACTCAACTCTCTCAATGGTTTCTTTTTCTATAGTTTTAGCTGCCTAGACCTACTACTATTACTGTTAAATCTATTTAAGCTTCATTAATTCTGATTAAGCTATTGATAATTTAGAAATGAGATCAGTTTTTTCTTTCTGCTAGCTAAAAGTATTTGTTTCCAAATTTTGTGAATTTCTCTAATTCATTTCAATAAGCTATTTCATTGTTTGCTCTAACTCAGTAATCATTTTTTATTTCTCAACAAGCTTATCTTTGTAGTTTTAGATTTTCTTTTAAGCATTATCAAGCTTCTTTCTGACTTCAACGTCATTGGCATCCTGTTTATTAATCGCATTCATTAGTTCAGCCTAAAGATCTGCCATTTTTATTTGAATCTGATTCAGTTCATCATTCCTCATCTGAACTTCCTATCTTAGAATAGAGTTATCTCTTTCTAGTAAATCCATCCTGCTCTCCATTCTCTGTTTACTCTTCATAAATTCTTTTTCAAACTTCTCAAAGCAATCTTCAAGGTCAATATCATCATCTTCTTTGTAGGATGACTCTTCGTCAACAGAATCTAAGACTTAAACCAAATGCTTGAACTTTGCCTTAATTTCATGTTTTTCATCATTGAACTCCTCCATAAGTTTATTACACTCTTCAATCAACTCATTTTTCATAGCAATTTCTTGCTCATAGCCTTCTAATTATTACTTTTGCTCGTTTGATTTCTCATCAAACTCTTATCTTAAATTTAAATTCTACTACTATAACTATTGAATCTAATTATTCAATTAGGTTTCCTTCTCTAATAAAGAATCATTTTTCTAGTTTTCTTAATTTTTTTGTTAATCCAAAGCTTTTTATAGCTCAGTCTTTAGCATTTATATAACATTTCGGTTGCTTTCTAAACTCTAATTATATTTTTCTTTCTCATATTCTTCTTTTTCTTGATATTCAGTCTGGAGTTGATAATTTTCCTCTTGCAGACCTTAGATTTTCTGTTAGAAATCCTGTTCATTCTATTCATATTATCTGATAAGATTCTCATATTCTTGAATTTGGTTTTGAAGGTCATGATTCTGTTTCTCCTTATCCTAGAGTTATGACATTGTTTCATTCAGCTATTGCTGTAACTTTCCTTCTAAAGATTACTTCTCAAAGGTTGTCTAATTTACCATTTCTTTAACTTAATTTTAAAGTTTCTCTTTCTCACTTATCAATTCTTTTATCTACTAGTCTTTCTTAGAGATTTATTCCTAGGAATGCCTATTTAGCTGTGTTATTTCATTCTGTTGATTACTCTATAGCTTTTCGATTTCATCTTGTAGCTTTTGATTTTACTTATCGAATTCGTTATTAGCTTGAGATAATTCTTCGACCTATTATTCGAATTCATTTATTTATTCTTGAAGTGTCTCCATATCTTATCCTCTTTGTTAAAGCTCTTGAACTTTTAACTATAGATCTTGATCTTTTTATTTAACTACTCTATCTTTGCTATGTAATTCTTGTTATAATTATTCTATTTCATATGCTTAGTCCTAGATTTCTTAGTCCTTATCCATAATAAACTGGTCTCGTTATTTAGAATCTTTTTCTTTGATTCTTAGATCCTTCTATAATGATATTATTTCTTTATCTTTTTGTCCCAATTCCTTGTCCTTTTGCTCTAAATCTGACTCTAGATTTGAGATTTCTTAATCTTTAGCTTATAATTAATTTAGAATCTACTACTCCTTATCAGCCTATTTCAATTCTTTCTCATTAAGTTCTTTTTACTGTTTATCAAGCTACTACTGCAAGGATTATCTTAGAATCTTTGCCATTCCAGTTTCTTTTTCATGATCAGACAGTCTACTCTAAAGATTTTCTAGTTATTTTATTTTCTGTTCAATAATTTCATCTCTTTGAGATACTTCTAATTTCAATTTTGATATTTGGCTTTCTAAGCTTGCTTATGCTTGGTTTGCTTGACTTCTTATCTTTTCATTGTCAAGTTTAGCATTTTCAATCTATTTATTAAGCCTAGACTCAGTAGTTTTTTAATCATTTAATAGCTCGTTTAGTTCCTCCACTTGCTATTCTTTTTAGTCGATTTATTCCTAGAAGTCTGCAAGTTTGGCTTAACTTTGTTTTTCTTAATCTGTTCTTAGCTACTTTAGCACTTGATTATCCTGATCAAGTTTATCTATTTTCTTTTGTAAGTTTTGCTATATTTACTATATCTATTGGTCCTTTTACTAAATAAGAAAATCTTTGTCGCTTATATCCTAGGTTAGGCTTATAATTTTATCGTTAAGTTCCGTCACATTAGTTTATAGTGTTGAGATCTAGCTATCTTTTGCTTTAATCTATAGTTTAAACTGCTCTATTTTTTACATTAGTTATTGTTCTTGAGAGCTCAAACTAGTCTGAGTGTGCTTAATTTATTCCTCTAAATCGATAACTTATTGCTTAAGATCATCTATAGTACTGTCTTTATTCAAAAGGTCTTTTTAATTCTACTCTTTTTAGCCTTATAAATCTTTTTAAAGCTATTTTATATTCTTATCTTGGTTTGTTATGCTTTGGTTTAGTTTAAGCTCAGACTGTTATCTTGCAATTTAAAGATCATTAATCTAATCTTCAAGTTGTTGGTTTTAATCCTCTAACTATTACAATTAAGTCTTGAGAGATTTTATTTCAGATGTCTTTGCTTGAAGCTTAGTTTCATTTTCAGATTGTAGAGACTTGATTTTATCATTTAATTGCTTAATCACCTACTCTTTTGAATCTATTGCTTTTTACAATAGTCCTTCATTATTAGTCTGCTGCAATCTAAGTTCCTCTAACTCAAGCATCAGTTAATTTTTCAAAGATTTTATTTCCTCCTCTTTACTTAAAACTGCCTTTTTTATCTTGTTTTATTCATCTTTCACCAAACCTTCTAATCTACTCTTTTCACTTGTCCATTATTATCTCTCCTAGGCATGCATCTATTAAAGCACCTCAATTTGATCATCATTTTTCATTGATTCAGTTAATCGCTCAATTTCTTATTGCATTTTATTTTCGTATTAATCCTACTTCTTTTTCATTTATGCATCATGCTTATCCTTTAGCTATCTTTAAAGCTCCTCTATTCCTTTTTAATGCTAAGTCTTAAGCTACTACTCTAATTGAGCTAATTTTTCTTGGAGAGCTACTTAATGCTCCTACTGCATTTCTTGAGACTCATGATTATGCTAATCCTATTACTGCTTCATTTTATTATTCAAGGTTGCTTGTTATTTTGCTAGATCTTGCTTGTGGGCTTTCTATATTTTCTCAATTTCTATTCGATTTTAATCTTTTATCAAATCCATTTCTTCCTCTAGCTATTATCCAAGTTAATGCAGTTTATTTTCATATTTTTCTTTTAAGTTTTCTATGTTTATTTCATGCTATCCTGCTTAGGATTTCATTAATTTAATTTAAGCGTCTGAATCCAAAATTTAAGGATCTTTTGTTTGCAAAATTACCTAAAAAGCTTGTTATTTAAACTAAAGCTCTTAATATTCTTGCTCTTTATTTTATAATCTCTCTTCTAATTCTATAGGCGATTTGTTAAATTTATTAGAATATGTACCTTTTACTTTATTTTCGAGCTCTGCAATTTTATCCGTGTTTAATTGGGAAGCTTATATCTTTTAGCTACTGCTCTTTTCCTATTGGAGATTAATTTACTGAATCTCTTGTTCTTTCAATTTTCTATCCAAAAGTCTCTTTAGCTTTCCAATATCTTATTCTCTTTCCTTAATCTGCAAATCAATTTCTTCAAATTTACTTAAGTTGGCCTATTCCACACTTTATATGACACTCTATATCTTGTATAAAATAATTAAATTTTACAATTATTTAAGTCTCCAGTTCTTGAATGAGTTTTTCATTATTTTCTTATTTTTACTTTTGATCTCCAGCGTTGGATGTTTGCTTCTTTATTTGATGTAGTCTCTACTTGTATTCCTCTACTTGCTTTTCTTTTTGTTGAATACTTTCCTTCTAATCCATAATGGTCCTCTTTGCTGACTCTACATTTTCTTCCAAGAAACCAACTGTTCGTTTAAACTCAGCAGTGATTCTATCATTGAGTTAGACTTATTCAAAAAGCCTCTCACTTTTATCCATTTAGTCTCTTAACTCTTTTTCAGTTGCTCTCAACTTTTACTCCAAAGCTTAAATCATTTAGTTATCTTGGCCTAATGAGTTGTAAATTGGCTAGGTGTATTGATTATTCATATTCATGATCTAGTATTAAGCTTACTAAATATCATCTCTCATAATTCTTCTTTCTTCTTGAAGATCAGTGTTTTCTTATCTCAAAGTTTCGATAATCCTTCGTAACCTATCCATTTCATGCTCCATCTAAGACTTTTACAATTGATATGAATCCTTGTCTCTTTCTATTTTGATTAACTTCTGATTGTTAATCTCACGTTCTTATCTTAGCTCTTTAATCTACTGTGAAAGAATATCTACATCATGTTACACCTGCTAATGAGCTGAGGGATTTGCAGAAGGGGATTAGTATCTACTGAGACTAAGTCCATATCTATCATTATTGGGTGGATCACCTACACTAGGTGATCTTTGCTATCTCTCTAGTGAGAGCGATGTCATTAGGAGGTTATTAACCCTTCGTTCATAGGGTTCAATTGATTTAAACAACTCTCTTTATTCATTTCGTCGTTGTACCTTTTATCTGAGTAGGATTGGAGATTTATCCTTATGGTAGGAAAGATCACTTATAGGATTAATAGAAGTGATCATGCTATTCTGATCATTGGCATTTTGAACTTAATGTTAATTTAATCTCTTGTACTATGATTGCTATTGATAATTGGAAGCTGGGTTCCTTGATTGATTGTAATGGGGGTTAATAGCACTTGGTTTTCCCTCAGTCCTCTCAGCTGAATGGTTTCTCTCTGCTATTTAGTTGAATCTGCCAGTTTAAACAAATGAACCTGGCCTCATATCTAGCTTATCATCCTTTGTGGTGATATTCTCATCTAGGTCTTTCTTCATTTATCTAAGCATATATTCAAGTTCTTTTCTAGACTCTTCAAACTCTGATTTTTCTTTTTGCACATTTGGTTCTTTCTTGTGAACTGCCTTCTGAAGTTTCTTCATTGAGTAGAGGAATTTCTAAGTTTGTCTAATCAATTGCCTTAGCTTCTGTTACTAATTGTCAGCATACTACTGATAAAACTGAAGTTGATCTAATGAGACATTCTGATTTTTATCTTAGTTTTGAATTGTTTTCAAATTCTAAAATTGTGACATGCTATTTAGGTCTGTACCTAACCTGTCAATCTAGTCATTTTTTTCTTAAAGTGTTCTGGCCAAGGATTTCACTTGTCTCTCTAAGCTCATATTTTAATCTTTCAATTTATCCACTTAATTCCTTTATTAGAAGCCATCTGTTTAATTCATCTATGCTTAAGCTCCAATTGAATCCATTCTGAAATGAGTTGTCCTCATATTAGACACACTTATTGGTGATATTTCTCTTTCTCTGTCTACTAAAATGCTTCCTCTCTTTTAACTTTCATTTACCAAATTGTGATTCTCATGCGATAATTTCTAAAGTTTATCTGTTGCGTTTCTCAGTTCTTATTAAAGATTGTCATTTAAAGCCTTAAGCTCATCCAATTCTTTTTATGCTTACCTATGAGAGAGATCATTATTACTTGTCTTTCTTGAGAGACGTTCACTGTTCAGAGTCATTGGCTGCAGATTATCAAATTATGAAATCATGATACTAAAGTTTCGCTTTAAATTTCCTAGGTTTGCATTTAGTTCATCTTAAATGCTACCAAGCATTTATAGCTCCTCTCTCTCTGACAGAATCTTCTGATTAAGAGATTAGAAAGACTAGCCTAGGATTTTTACATGACTGGATATTTCTGTAGCTAATTAATCAGTGGTAATTGCAAGATTTCTAGGGGAACTCATAAATGCAGTTTAGCCTGAAAAAGCCTTTCCACTTGCTATTTCTTTCTACCTCATTGTAGCAATGCACAAATCATGTGAGCTTTTTGTTATGTTTTATAGGAGCATCTAGGATTTTTTAAGATCAAGAAGAGCCAAGTCTTATTTGTTTTGTAGATCAAATACACACTTTTTGATTGTTTGGATTGTATACTCTTGGTTAATTTCGAACTCATTTTAATCTTTTTAATAGTTTATGAGTAATTACTAAGTTTGATTGTCTCTGAGGACAGGCTAAGAGTTTTAGGTCCTAAGTTCTTGATTTATTGAGTTTCTCAAGCAAGATGTAATTATACTTATTATTTCACGCTTCAAATTAGCGAACAAACCTAAGATATCATTTTCTGTGAATGAATTGTAGTTCTAATTGATATACAAGATGAACTCATTTTCAAATTTTGTAAGAGTATTTTGAATGTTGTTTTACAATTCCTTAGCCTGCTCTTCAGCTAAGCCTTGAGGAAAGATTCCCGATGGATTCTAATTCATCTATCTTTATTCGTATGTATCTCTAGCAAGAGTATCAAATTAGTCTTGATTTTTATCAGAAGCAACCTTTTAAAATTTGCTTTATAGTTTTACTATGTTTTATAATTCTCTATCAAGATCAGATTTTTCATGCAGCAATTCACTTATAATATTCTTCTCCTTAACTGTATCAAGTTCTTCCTAAGCAATTAGAGCTTGACTCTACAGTCTTAAGGGTGATTTGCTACTTTGGTTTGTGTAAAAATTATCAGCAGTATTACTGAAAACTTTATTAGGTGATTTAGTGTCTTGTAAAATGCTTTACTGCTTTTGCTTGATTGCTCCCATCTTATAAAAATTGGCAAGGTCAATGTACTTGTTTTCTAAACTCTTCATTTTGCTATGTAGATTCATTAGAATATCTTGCATATCAATGTTATAGTTTTCATCTTCAATTTAATCTTAAAGAGTTTCTTCACTTTGATAATGATTGATTTTGCTATTGATCATCTCACGTCTATCATTGATGTAAGTTTTCGGAGATAAAATGTTCTTGTTGTTCTTTGATCCATTTGAATTGTAATTCTGAATGTAAACAGGCTACTGATCAATTTGGATAGAGTCTTTGTTTATAAAACTTGGATGCTGTTGATAGCTTTACCTCTCAGCACTAATTATAGATTGCTTTTAACTTCTGAGATAAGCAGGCTCATTTTTATTATTGAATCTTCCCTGATAGTAATTACTTACATTGTCAGTCGAACTCATTAAAAAGTCTCTGTTGTTATTTGGATTATTCGTATTTGGATCGAAATCTTTGTATCTCCTTGACTTGACATTTGCGCTCTAGTTATCTAATGGACTCTATGATCTCATATCTCTGTAATTGCTCACTGAAGGCTAGGTTATAGTATTCATTGCACCAATTGAGGTAAATGCTGAGTGATGCGAGTCTCTTTGATGAGAGGCTAGTCCATAATGATTATAACTATTTGACTAAGCCTGGATATTGAAATTACGATTAGGATTATCATAATTTTATTATTGATAACCATTGCTTATCCCGCTCGCATAATTTTAATGCTACTATTGTGGTGGATTATTTGAAGCATAAGAACCTCTCATGTAATCGTTGCTTCCATCTTGATTTGCAGAGGGCAATCTTTACTTATTGGGAAACGCATCTTGATTGCGATTTTTACTGCTCTGATTATTTGTAGAATTCGATGTGGTTGAAGGTCTCTGCTAATTAAAGCTAGAGGACACCTTAAAATTTTACCTATTAGGATTGCCTTTCATATTTAAATTGCACAGTTATTTTAATTTAAATTTCTCAAATAAAACTTTATATCTTCTTTTAATATGTTTTTATATATGCTGGGGTTTTGGGGTTTTGGGG